AAAACAAAACAAGTTGACAAGCTAGAAATTTTACACCACATTTACAGAAAGCACAACATCCCTTTAACCTGGAAAACTCATTATTAGAAAAAAAAAATGTTGCACTGCACCGCAGTTTATTGAATGCTGTTCCTGTTGGGAGTGACTTCATTCTGACAGGGCTCTATAGAATCTGGTGTGCTCTCGTAAGTGCCCCCCACCTCGCAAGAATGTCAGGTTGCATGTTTTCTAATTTCTTTATTAACATGTGAAAGGAGGGACCTTTACCCATTATTTTGATTGGCATTTATGATTTATAATTCTAACAAATGCTGACATACTCAGAGATGAAACTTCTTCAGCTGTTACTCTGTAATATTGGACTATTCTTTCAGAGTCATAGACTTTTAGCAGGAATTTTATAATATTTTGTGCAAAACTACAACTTTTGTACATATTAATCTTATTTAAATATTGGTTACATATTTAAGCTCTTATAAGATATATTGCTTATTTAATGACATTTTATTATCATCCATTCACTATACATAAATAAATGTATATACACTTTCTAGACTTGAATATAGTATTTCCTAGATACTTACTTAAATGAGGGTTCTTTTCAGGAGAAGAGCTAACCAAACAATAGGTCAAGTGTACTTGTCTCAAGGAAAATAGTATTTGTAAATAAGGAAGTTAGGCTTTTGTTTAAAACTATCCTGCTGACCTATTGTGTGAGATAGGATACTAAATGAATGACAATGTGCACTAAACATATATAGAGTTCTAGCAAAGCATTTGCCAGCCCAGAGAAAGAAAACATGGACTAGTTTCAAATGAGAGGATGCTTCAGAAATGAGATCATAACAAGAAACTTTAAAGGTAGACCTGAAAGAGGTGATGCTGTGGAGCACATTTATTTGTAACTCAACAGTAATTTTAGTAATTATATGGTAAATCATCAAATCTAACAATTTTAAAAATTATTGTTAACTAATGAGTCATTCAAACAAATTCACCCATAAGCTTGTCTTAATGTCTTGTTATTAAGAAAATAAGTGAAGAGTCTCTTGTTTGTATTATAAAGGATCTCAATAATTTCTGTAAATTTATTAAATTTTATGTTCAGGTCAAGATAAAACATAATTATGATGAAATTAGAAGTATAAATTTTTATAAGTGGTATGTGTACTTATATCATAATACATATACAGAGGTCGGAAAACAATTTACCAGAGTTGTTTCTGACCTTCCATCATGTGTGTCCTGGAAATTGAACTCAGAGCCTTAGTATTGGCAGGAGTTGCCTGTACTTATTGACCCATATGTCTCCATAATTTTTATTTCACACAAAATGTTGATTAAGTTCTTGTATACAAATTGGTTAAAGTTGAAACAGCATTGAGTATTTTATCAGATGTGTATATGAATAACTTCTATATAAGTAATAAATTTTATTCTTAGAAAAACTGAACAGATAAATGCTAAAAGAGAAACATCATTTAGCTTTACATCTTGTTGTTTTATCTGATTATTTCTTGTGTTATTGATTTAATGGTTTTAAAATTCTATCTGATTCTAGATGCATCAAAAATATGAGATCTGGGCATGTGACACTTGGGAGGCAGAGACAGACTGGTCTTCAGAGGGAGGTTCAGGTAGCTATGGCTACATTGTAGGAACTTGTTTTAAAAATATAAGGCAGATAAAGAGGAGCTTTATATCTCATATTTCCATAGCAAAATGTAAACCCACACTTTTTAAATCGACCCCTAAAAGGCCAAAGTTAATACTTCAAACAGTCATCACTGAGACATTTGTAAATTTTATCAAATGCTGCTACTCATTTATAGGAGAAAGACTTTTCAAAAGCAAACTTGAATTTTATAAAAAGGGAGAATGAATATTTGGACTTAAGAAGACTTCTAGGAGCCATTTGATAATGTCTAATTTCCAGGTCTTAATCAAGCCATCCAAGTTCAAAGATCTTAAGCTGTGAGTAAAGCAACCTCTCAGATCAGTGCATGCCCCATTAATAAGTTACCTTAAGGTCATAAAATTCTTATATGTATAATATATAAGTCACTCCTATTTAGTTAGTAAATATTTGTTTCTGATATTGTTTTTATTATTATCTTTTTAATAGAAATTATGATAGAGTACACTGAGGTGCTAAAACGTACTCTTCAAAAAAAATAACATTTTTGTGATTGAAGATATAGAGTGTCTTTAAGAAAAGTAGTTTACTCTTTTAATTTCATTTTTTCAGCTCTTCTTGTAGTATAGGACTTTTTTTCTATAGGTGTAAATAACCACATAATTATACAGAACAGAATCCTGAGCAATAACTGAAAATTCTTCCTTCCAAGGTTGATAAGTATCAAGTGGGGAAAGACCAGAATAAATTCAGATGAAATAGAAAGTTTAAGTATGACGCAGAAGTTATTTTACTAATTCTACCTAATCTTACGTTGTTTAATTTTACCTATTTCTAATTATCTTCTAGAAGTGAATATTTAAGGTTATTGCAACTTTACTATTTCACAACTGAGTTGAAATAATTTAAAACAGACAAGAATGATGACTAAAACACCAGGATGAAAACACATAGAAAATAAACATAATTTAAAAGCTACATAGCGATCCTGGCTAGTAAGAGTTGAACACATGTAATGGTTATTGAGAAAGAGTTCTTCTTAGCATGGCTTTTTTTACACAATTGTCATTAAATTTTTATCAGCAATGAATGATTCTTGAAGGAAAGGTAGTAAACTTGGAAGCCAGCCTAAGTGCTAGAGAGTGGCATACTTTCTCACCTAGCTGAATATTTCACCAATATTTCATAATTTAAAAATTTATTAATAAGTACTGGATACTAATTTACTAAATACTAGAGAATGATAGAAGATTCTGTATTTACTGTATTGGACACTTATTGAGATTAGATTGGTTCATTCAATAATGCTTAGGAAAAAATAATGAACATACATAGGGTTCTCAAATAATCCAGAATTTCTATTATTGCAGAGGTTGGAAAAAGTGAAAATAAAATTCAATTAATACTGTATTCTGGATAAACCAGACAAAACAAATGAATACTAGCTTATTATTTTGAACCAGCTTTTGTAATGAAGTAATAAAGCTAATTTTGAAAGGCTGTTTTGTTTCTGGCATAAGGGTTAGGAGACTGTTTGTTATTCTAGGCTAATTTTTGATAATAAAAATGATTGTAATCTGTGATAAAATTTGTAACATCAGATTCCATATATGAACTTTCAAGTATATTCTTTGTTTTTAAATAGTCTAATACTAGATATTGTTTTGGATTTTTCACATAAATAATTGAGATCCTAAATGAGCCAACAATATTTCTGATAAAAATGTACTATTTTCTATTTTAGACTTTAAAAAATACTAATTTTTTCATTGATTATGTTTCCATTTACTTCTATTTAAAAGCTTACTAATCAATAAGAACACATAGTAAGTAACAAATCAGAAACCCATGAGCAGAAATGCTGAATTTCCATCCATTCATGATGTTCCTTCTAAAGCCAGTGCCTCCTTATGATCATGATAAATTGCTCTCCAGGCAATGCCCGTTTTCCCTAGTGATTAATGTAATACCATGGAGTTTGCAGAGGTTGTTTTCTCAATTTGACTGGCCAGGAAGCACTTTCCCTGTTGAAAAACAGGTGTAAACATCAATACTTAAGATAAGAGAGTGATCCCATGCTGGTTCCGGTGTCTCCAGTGAGAAGAATTCAGCAGGTAGAGTCAGGCAGATTGAGTAGAGCTATTTATCAGAGTAGAGAACTAGAAAAAATGTTTGGAGTGTTCAAAAACTTTTTCTGAAAGAATGACAAAAAAAAAATCACCAGCAAAATAGTCTGTCAAGCATTGTGACTACATTGGGACTTCATGACAAACATATGAAGTAAAACCCCAGTACAGTAATTACAGTAATTGGAGAAGTGGTTCTAATTTCCTTGCTGTGTAAATTATATCCCTATCTGCTGGGAACCAAATTTGTTTCCAATGATTTTCCTGAGGTTTTTCATAGCTTGACACTGGCAGCATTGCTTGAGGTCTCTCTCTCCTCTCTAGATATTTGAGACTGGGTTTTATGAAGTGAAGGAATATTTGGGCCTTGCCCACTAAGCCGTTCTTTTTGTTCACTGTATCCCTGGATTTCAATTAAATTTTAACTTATGACACTTTCACTAATTATAGAGTGGAGACTGCCTGGTATAGTTCAGTAACTTCTTTTGTGTGCTGTTTTCAAATAAGTTATAAATTTGTCAGAACATCACATCGTGTTCCATGCTAGTTGACTCAATACTTGTTAAAGACTCCTAGGTACTGCAAATTTGTTAGAAGGCGTTACCAGCTAATTGGGGTAAGAATTGCAAGACTTTAAACTATACATTAACATCGTTTGTGAAAACAGGAGGAGCAAAATAACAATTATAACAATTGGCTTGTTTTGTTTGTTTGTTTCTAAAGATTGCTCTCATCCTACTTCCTCCCATTTTCCTATAAGGAAAGCTAAAGGCATTATTTAACATGCATATACATACTCATCGTTAACACTTCTTTAATCTTATATCATGGTATTCGTGTTTATTTCTGTATGTGTTGTTTCTTTGTTTACTTCCTTGACAAAGCATGTCATTTTTATTTTACATATGTGTATTTTGCTACTGCATGTAAGATTTTCAAATGACTCAAAGAACAAGTGAATTCTCGTCATTTTAAATTTCACTTTAAATATTGCAAATAATTTACTTATTCTCAAAAATAGCTCCCAGATTTTTTTCTTTTTGGGGAGCATAAAAGGGGAAGTGAAAGAAAAATGACAGAACCTGTGTGCTATAGTTGTTTTGTACCTGTTATTCTGTTTCAACTTATAAAATTAAGCCTAAATAAGGTGTGCATATTTATAATTTGAATCATTTGTGTTTCTCTTTTGTTTGCATGACATGATTTTATTTTATATTTTGTTTCTTTCCACTCACCAGATGTTCCCACCACTTTGCTTCCCACTACTATCATCCCCTCCCTTACCACTGCACCAGTAACAACCACTGTAGCCATAACAACCAGCCCAAGTACATCTGCGTCCAGCAGCAGCAGAAGAGGTACAGTATGCTTCTTTGTTATAGCCCCAGAGGCCCAGCCAATGGAGCTCTGCAGGAGTATCTTATTCAGAATAGAATAAGTGAGATCCAAGTTACATATTTATATTGTCTTAATTATAAGATGTAATTGGATCAACAAGATGAGTATAAACTAAAATTACTAAAGTAGATTATAAGTCAAATGGTATATTTTATTTTTAGTGTCACTTATGATTGGTATCAAAATATTAGGGGATACCATTTAAAAAAAAAGTATCTCCACTACATTAAGGACACAGATTTTGATTTGCCTTGAAATGTAAAGAAATAACATGCTCAGTGATTTGAAGATAGCATTTGGCTGTAAATATCCTACGTTATGTTGCTGACTTGATATTCCTCTACAAATTGAAGTTTTCATGGTGTTGAATTTGTTCTAAAATGAATAGTCATGTGTAAATCTCTACTTGAATCTTTCAGGTAAATGCTCAAAATATATGTCATCATAAAGTGATTCCACTAATAGAATATTCTACACTGGAATATTCTAGAGTTTCCTATCCTACTGTGAATTTATACTTAGCTCTATGAATATGCTACAATTAGTATTTGAATAAGTATTTTTATTTCAAACTAAAGATCCCAGCCTTATTTATAGATTGAAAAATCCCCAAATTCAAAAATCAGCAATCATAATAATTATAAAAAAACATGATTTAAACTTAATATATTCACAACAACGTACAGAGAGAATTTCTCATTTAATCCCTCCCCTTCCTTACTTATGTACATTTTGTGTCTTAAAGCTAAACTAACATATTAAGTGTGTAACAATTTAACTGGATGCTAATGGAGACTTTATCTTCTTACAGGTAATTGAATAATAACAAGAATGGTTTACTTTTACCTTTCCTATATCTTGCCTTATATGATTTTTCTACTACAGTATATGTTTCTTCTTGGATTTTATTCAGTATTGATAAGAAATTAAGTTATAGCCTTTCACAACAGTTTAAAAACCTGATTTTTTTATTGCAGAAAAAGCATGTCTGGTAACTGTTAATTATTAGTAATCATAGCCAACTTTATTATAACATATCAATGATGGCTAACAAAATAATTTGATATCAGCAGCTATAACAGTTTCTTAAAAATATCTTGGTTATTTTGTTTTGCTGAATGAACATATTTTCAGCAGCACGTGAATTTATGTTAGCAAGGTTTAAGAATTTTCTTACATATATTTTATTAAGAGAAAAGAAAATACAGAAAACTAAGAGGCAAAGTAAAAAATACTTAGGGCATAAGAATAACAAACATCTAAATTTCTCCTTCTCTTTATATCAAATGCCCTTCTTATATCATTACAGATTGTACTTTATGTGTTTGTATTACTCTATGATGTTTTCTAAAATTTATGGGACTAAAAGTGAGAGAATGAATTCTTTTCTGGCACAAACATTCCAGTAAACATTGGAAGACATGCATATGTGTTCATGCTGGTGATTCTTTAGGAGCTTAGCAACATGACCATTCAAATGTTCGCAAGGGTGATAGCAATGGATATGCCAAACTATATGTGAAAAAAAAATTCTTTACAAAGACTTCAACCCTTCAAGAAGATTTACAGGAGACTGAGGAAACTAAAAATGGGATAGGTGCCCCCCTTGTTTCCCCGGGAGGATCACATCAATTCAGTACCAAGCAATCAGTCCTGAAAATATAAATACAAGTAACATTATATGGACTAAATAGATTATATTTGGGAATATATGTATATACAATTTTTTTATACGTGCAGTAGCAGTTGATGCAAAAGGAGGCCAGAATCTGAAAGAGGATGGGGTGGGGGCATATGAGAGAATTTGGAAGAAGAGAAGAGAAGTGGGGAAATGTTATAATTAAAATATTCAAAAAAAGTCAAAAAGAAAAATTTAAAGCAGCATGCATCCACACAAACATAAAATAACACCCGTCCTTTATTTTTTCTTATTTAAAGATAGAAATAAACATTTAGAATCCAGTAAGATGCAAATAAATAGAATATTTGCCTAACAGAGAATGTCATATTTTTGTGCATGTGGTAAAAATAGTAGATGACAAAAAATGCTAGCCTAATCTGCAGTTTTTCTCTCTTCTCTCCAACTAACATCTGGAGATCAGAGAAATAACCAAGGTCACCCACATCATTGATATTCTAGTCCAGACTTGAGGGAGAAATGTTCAGATAATTCATGCAGTATGTAAGCAAGGCTGTGAGTGTTTTACTCAGTAAGTATTGTGCAATGCATGTCTTGCACACTGCTGATCAGATTTGAGTTTTTTATACATTTGGGGATAATTTGTTATTCACGTCTTTATGTGATTAACAGGTTTGTCAACAAAACTATATTGTCTGAGAACAGATGAGAACCAAAGGGAAAGACTGTTCTATAAAATTTCTTCTTGTTTACCATTGCATTCTTTTCTCTGACTATAATTTAAAATAAGATGAATACGTAAGATTTTATTAGGATTAAAAATGATTTATTGAAATTTCATGAACCATAACATTTATCTTTACAAGTATAAGAAGCTATAGCAAGTGAACCACAGCTTGGATCTCCACATACAATTTCATAATTCTTATTGTCTACTGTTCTATCTGGAAACAACATTTATCCAGTTTGAAATGAAGTTAAAGAACCATGTCTTCATCTTGATTAGAAGCTAAAATGAAATGTGCAAAATAAACTGTGTTCAGGTCACCCAAGTCATGACCTTGGGATTTTGTTTATCTCCATTTGTGGCACATGGATTCCTTGTAAAAACAATTGGCAGCCGTCTTAATTACACTAAGCAAAGTTACATAAAAAACCTTCTTTTGCTGGAAGCCTTGCTTGAATGGAGTGTAATGTAATTATTGCATAGGTCTATACTGTTTTCTGTTAGTAAAATTTATTCAGGTGATCTTTTTTCAATAATAACTTATGTTGTACACTTCTTACTTCTGGAATGAACTTTCATCAAAAATCTGTCTTTTTCCAAGTTCCATAACTTCATAGCTCTGAGTAGTTGTCTTTTTTCTGCTATTAGGCATGATTTCCCTTTGTTATATGAAACTGCCATAAAATCTCACCAATGTGGCCATCTTAAACATGCACCAGACATGCTAACATGGACAAGGGACTGCCCAAGCGTTCTCAGATCTATAAAGCTAAATGCAAGTAAGGAATGCGGAGAAGCAGAGAACTATTGCTACATATAGAAGAATTCACTGATTGATTATCCAATACTAGTGGTCAGGCATGAAAACATATATGCAAGTAACATTACATAGACCGAAGAGGTTGCATTTATAGATTTATGAGCACACACACACACACACACACACACACACACACACACACACACATATTATACATGTCCTATATATAATGGTATGCAACATGCAACAACTCCTGAAAAATAAAGGTGAAGCCGTGAATTTGAAGAGCAATTCATACAACTGTAACTCACACGAAGAGGACCTAGTTTGGACCTATGCTGGTTTCCCCTCTGTCAGCGCGGAGTTGATGGATACCCATTAGCTCAGCTGAGGTGTTTCAGGGGGTATCCCCATCATGGTCTTGACCTAATTGCTCATATTCTCACTCCTCCCATTCTTCAACTGGACTTTGGAAGCTCAACCCAGTGCTCTGCTGTGGATCTCTGAATCTGCTTCCATTAGTTGCTGGATGAAGGTTCTATGATGCTATTTAAGATAGTCATGAATTTGACTACAGAGCGAGGCCAGTTCAGAGACCCTGTCGACTATTGCTTAGGGTCTTAGCTGAGGTCATCCTTGTGGATTCCTGGGAATTTCTCTATTGCCAAGTTTCTTGTTATCCCCACAGTGGCTCACTCAATCAAAGTATCTCTTTTGATGTGGGATTCCCTCTGTATGCTGTGAATACCATTGGTTAATAAAGAAACTTTCTTGGACTTGAGCAGGGAATAGAAGTATATGAAGAAAACTAAACTAAATGCTGGGAGAAATGAGGAGGAGTTAGAGAGAAGCCATGGAGCCCACCAGAGACAGACACTAGATCTTTAACCAGTAAGCCACTGCCAAATGGCAATACAGAAATTAATGAAGATAGGTTAGATTAATATGTAAGAGTAAGTCAATAAGAAGTTAGAGCTAATAGGCTAAGCAGTGATTTAAATAATATGGTTTCACTGTGATTATTTCAGGGCTAAGTGGGCCAGGAAATAACTAGCAGGCTCCTTACAACATATTCTTTTGCTCTCATCTCTGCCCTTCCCCCATCTGGATCATCCCTTTCCCTCAACTTCTCCTTCTCCCTCTCCTTCTTCCCTCTTCCTCCCCTTCTGCCTTTCCTTCTCCCTCATCCCTGTGCTACCCACAATTACATTTTTAATTTTTCTGGAATTCTTTAAATTAAATGAAATAATTTTAAATTCTGTTAATTTACTAATTACTTTATAATTTTGAACTACTCTTATTATGTCCTTGGACAAATAATATATAAGAATGATCTAGGTCATATGAACATTCTCAAGCTCTTCATCATCTGTTTTTGTTTTTTTTGAAGGCTATCTGTTTTTCACTACATGGAAAGCAATCGTGATTTATAGTACATAACTGAAATATAAAAGTTTTATAAATAAAACATTTCCATTAAAAAAGAAAATTTATATAGCACATTTTAAATTTTGCTTTTGGAGTTCCTTTTTTAAAGAGAACATTTTAATTTTATTTTGTAACCAATACAAAAACTCACATATGTGTGCATGTGTGTGTAATATATTTATATTTTGCTTTATAAATGTTGCTTTTTTAATTCACTGCACTAATTTTCAGTGAGTTAAATATAATTATGAAATGATTCTGAATGGTTTAAGGTGATTTTTGAAATTAATATAAGCATTACTTTTTCATGACCAGTTAAGTAAGAAAATTTTATCCATGTTTAAGATACAGTTTCCACATAAGAATAACCTTGTCAAGCAGCTATTAATGGTACTATTGTTTTAAA